GATGGTGGAGGTCGGCTGTAGGGCACCCAACGGGGGGATGCGGGGGGGGTGGGAAATGGGAAACTACAAAAAGGAAAAGACAGGGGAAAAAAAACAAGTTTGGTGGGTTCGGTGGTGAAACACGCCGGACGAAGCCAGTCGCCCTCACTGAGAAATTCATTTCACAGACATCATGTTGACAGGAGTATAGAGAACCAATATATGGCATCATGTTTTCCAGAATGGATATGTTTTGGTATTCAGTAGAGGCATGTGTAGAACACACTTTCTGTTTCCTGTTCTCTGTTCCAATTGGTTTCCTCCCATTTGTACTGTCCTACAAAATACTTTTAGGTGGAGCTCTAGGCCAGCCAAAGACTTGACTGTGCTTTAAAATACTCTCTGTTTATGATAAGGTGTGATTTTCCGTCACTATAGTTTGAAACTTGGCAGGATGACATCATCAGAAGCTCTCTGCCCATGTGACCACATAGAATTGCAGGAATGGGCCTCCCACTCTGCTGATAAGACTTCCTGTGTTTTGTCCCTTTCACTCGGGCTGCTCTGGCACATGCTGCCGTGTTTGTTTTCATTCTGTAACCAGGAAGACAAAGCACACAAGTTTCTTCGCTCTTGCGTTATTCTTCTCCTTGCCATTCTTTTTATAAATCTGCAGGAAGTCGGCATGTGGGGGGGGTGGGGATGGATGCTGGGGGGAGAGTTCATTACCAGGCACGCTGGCTGGACCACCGGGGCTCCTGGGGAAGGAAAAAAACCAAGTCCGTAATTAATTATGAATCTGTGGTTAGGCCTTGAAAGCGATTCCTCAAGGTCCAGGGGCTGCAGACATGCATCCAAGCATTCCATGGGTGCTGTTTTCATCAGAGCTGGTAACGCAACAGAAACAGTGACGGTTATGAAGTGTGGTTGTCAGGGCTACGGACCGCAGGAAAACGGAAAGCCAGCATCACTGAGACATAACAGATTAGAACGGTAATGGATTCACCCTCGAGGGATCTATGAAACTGTGTAGCAAGAGGCAGCAAGTGGACTATTAACATGCACCGGCACAAATGCGCCCAAATGTAAACTACTTCCTGCACTGAAACATGCGAGAGCAAAATTAGATCATAACCTGAAGTTAGGTATTCCCCCCTAAATGGATATTGCTGAAATCCAGCCTCAACTACTTCTGTCTTGGACAGTGAAAGTGACAGCTGTTCAAAAATATATAGAAATGACATATTCTTCCATAGCAGAACAAAGATATTACCACAGGGCTCTTTGCCTGTGTCCGGAAGGTTGTGGGTTCCAATCCCGCAGCCAGCAGAGTAATCACATCACTGTGTCTCCCAGAAGCAAGGCCGTTAACCCCAGCTGCTACAGCACAGCACGCTGGCTGACCCTGAGCTGTCTCTCTCATGGAGAGCAAGATGGGGTATGTGAAAATAAAATAATTCCTAAGTACCTTTCATCGTGCTCGTACAATGGAAAATATCTTAAGAGTGCAGAAACAATGCCCCTAGTGGAAAATAAGGGCCACATCAAATGTAGTTATACTTTTAGCCACCAGATGTCAGTACGATGCAACACGTAAATCCATTTAACGTAAAGATTCATACAAAATGCATAACGGCAGCCTTTGACTGCTTTAACAACAGAATAAAAACAATTCTTTAAGACTAAGTATTGTACCTTGCACAGTAAGGTAAGAAGCAGGTAACAATTGGAAAACGTTGAATTATATTATGTTATATTCTGTATAGTTGTGATCTATCTATCTATCTATCTATCTATCTATCTATCTATCTATCTAATCTATCCTATGATTTTCAGATAGATAGATAGATAGACAGACAGACAGGCAGGCATGGTCACTGTTACAGAGGCCCCTTGTCCTGAACAACAGTAATATGCATGATGGCTGTGTCATCAACAGCTCAAGTACTTCAAACTGTAATTAAATGTTATCCTCAGGCTTCAGATCCCGATTGCAAAGATCATTCTTTAGAAAATGACCAATTTACATTTATATAATTCCCATAAGGGGGGCATTTCCCATCACAGAGGTACATGGCTATTGGGATAAAGGTAGGATAAATATTTCAATTCACGACTGAATTACTGCTTTATTCAGAAGAAATAAAAGGATGAGGATGACTGTGAAGCAAAGGAGGCTTTCCCAAGCGGAGCGTGACAGCATAACACTCAGTTACCTTCCGCTCAGGAACTACCTGCTCTCTGCAAACTCCTGAAGTCATGCACATATCCTCCTGAGTTCAGGGAAAAAAGATTTTTTTTAATTTAGATGGTTAAAAGCACACCCCCAAATATGTGATGTCATCTTAAAGACCCAAACTGTCCTTAACAGGGACTTAACAGTATAGTATCAAAGATATAAGCAAATGAACTGGTAATTTTAATTAGAGCTTAACACTCAAATATGGATTAAACCTTTGAAGACACTTAACAGGAATCAACATAATGATGACACAAAGGCTGTCAATGTGAAGTGCACCCATTTAATGATACAAATTTCATATTAAAATTGTAATAACATGTCCCCTAAAGTAGCATTTACATTAAAGCTAAAACACAGCAACGTAAACTGCCGGGATCTTTCAAACGCTCCTAACTGATGTGCAGGTGAGGCAGTGCAACGACGACAGATCTCAATCATGCTTATTTCAAGGTTTGCCGAGCAGAATGGCGAAACAGCGGCGTTCATGAAGGCCTCGTCTGGAAGGTCTCCGCTCCTCAGGCCACCAGGAGCTGTCCTGCCAGGGCGGGGTTCCTATCCTTGACGAGGGCCGTCGTGATCTCGGACGCGCTCTCCACGGTCTCCTCCCACTGCTCCGCATTCTGATACACAGAAATAACACACTGCACACTGCACACTGCACACTGCACACTGCCAGCACCTGGCGACACACGGCCCCCGGCACCCTCACTGTCTCACTTCCTGGTAATGCCTCAAGCCTGCTGACAGACATTTATTTATTTTTTTCGTGGAACAGGACCTATAACTACAAATTATGGTCTAGTCACACTTCAGATACACACTGGGCCCGTAAATGTGCCCCCTGTTGCTACCCTGTTACACACCCCCTCCTACCTGCACACAATATATCTTCCCTAATTATAGCGCTGTGAACCATTCGCCCCCGGAGCTTTCATTTTACTGTTCTCTAATACTTCTACCTTTCCTCTGATTTTTCCACCATACTTGCAGACTGTGCTGTCGGTGTCTAAAGTCAGGAAACAGATGTGCTGACGAGTCTTTAGTGTGAAGCGGAGTGTGGTGAGAAGGGACATTGTGACCCATCTGATGCTGGAGGCTGGCGGATACATGACATAACGCTGGCTGGATGGAATGCTGCTCCAGGCAATGCACCTTTCTGTATACGCCGAAGTAATTTAAAGGAAAGTGACTCTGTAGAATCACTACTACATTACCATAAAGGGTGGCCCTCAAACTGTTCATTGCCCAGTTTATGATCATTCTGGCTAATTTATAACTTCTTCCATTACACAAAAACTTAAATACGGACAACAAGTTGCAACTAGTTCCAGAGTCAGACATGCCCAGACAAGACTATTGTTCTTTTCAAGGAAAACCACTTATTTTCTTTGCGCCATTCGACACAATATGTCCGTCAAAGGCACACAAAACATAACAGGGTGAACGGAAACATCTGACTTTCAAAAATCCTATCGAGCATTTGGGGAACTTGGGGATCTTCGTGCCTGTGTTATTTGATAGCAAGATCAATCTACAGATGAAAGCAATTATTGATGGATTTCTGGGGGGCAGACTGACCAAATTATAGCGTTGTGCTTAAAAGTGTTTTTTGTTAAATTAAAGATTGTTTTAGGTTGTAAAATTACAGAGCTACAGTATGGCATTCTTTAAAGTTCACAGTGCATGATATTTTAAATATCTCATAACCACAAATTAGACATTAAAGACTTTGCTTTTAATGAAATACAGAATTATGTTCTAAAGAAATATCATTAGAAGACGAGCACTACTTTTGTGGTTGTTTTGTGCCATTTGTCTCAATTTTCTTGCCCTGGAAATATTTTTTATTATTTTTCTCTCCTGTATTATTTAGATTAGTCAGTCTTTTCCTGTTCTCTCTTCAAGTTTTGCCTTTGATTACTTTTATTTATTCTGTATGCTTTTAAAAGCTAGTGGTTCTCTGTCAGTTACAATCAGTCTGCTTGTCATGAGCTTAGAAAATCAAAAGCAGTCCACCAGCAACTTCCATCGACTCTGGCATCCCACGTTACAATATGTTGTGTCACTCTTATCTCAAACGTCACCTATGTGGAAGTGGAGCAGCAGAAGTGGACACCGGACATACTGGCCAATATCCCAAAAATCATGCTTAATAAGAAACATTTAACATCCACTATTACGTCACACATTTTCCTTCAAGGTTTTTTTTTTTTTTTTTTTAATCAAAAAATCTGCCCGCAGATCCGGCAATCATTTATTGATTAAAGAAACGCAGCTACAAATATTGTATCTCCAAAATCCGTAATTTCGGCATTTCCTGTGTTTCTTTATTTATGTTTGATCCTGATTTTCAGACATCAAAGAAGAAAAGGTTTCCTGTATAAAACGCATCATAAACACATTCATTGAGTACGAGGGCCAGGACATCTGCGAATAGTCAACAGAATGTTCGGCCTGATACTTTTGCATGCCCCTCATTCTGACATTTGCTCAATATCCATGAGACTTTATATCACGCCATTACTGTATGTCAATATCTAATAAAAGAATCCAGCCAAATGCTTCTAAATGAAAGATACCTTGACATGAGTGTCATGGTTAAGTGTACAATACCCTTTATATTAGAACTTCCACTAAATGATATAATCAATGAACTCCAATCTATGCTTCATAACATGGCATACATTACTGTAGGCTGAAATGGAAATGTTCAGCATTTCCATATAAATTTTGCACGAAATTGAAATATTAGACTTTAGTCTTTCAGGATCCATTGTAAACAAAGCAATTCATGACAAAGACAACAGGGCATGAAAACAAATATTGTGTTCTTCTTCAGGAATGGCTAACATCCCCAAGCTCAGAGACCAAATCCTGTTCCCACTTTGTCTGGGTTTGTGAGAATTCTGTGTACAGCAGTTCTTCAAAGTGGGTGGCTTTAGATGTGATTAAGGGGAAGACAGGGTGTATCTACACACTGTATCTGCCAGACAACGTAACAAAATAAAATTGGTGTGTTTGCATGGAAAATAAGAGCTCTAAAATGCCTTTGTTTGCTTATGTTTACCTGACTATTTGATTATTTGCAATTATTTGCGCGCCACAATTGTAACAGAAATAGTCTGGACTTGGAATAGTTGTCTTTGCAGTTGATGTGCAAAAAAAGGCAATCATTTTATCTCTTTATATGTTTTGTTTCAGGAAATTCTTAAAATATCATGCCAAATAATGAAAATTCACAATTGTGCACAACAGGGAAAAAGTGATCTGACTATCAGAAACTCATAGAGGAAACTTTTAAAGGCAGCCAAATCGCCTCAATCCGAAGACATTCTGCACAAGTGAACCGGTGACCCTAATTTGCCATGAATGAGTGTGAGCCTTTCTGAATACCCTGTGACTGACTGATAACCTATCCAGCATTTGTCAGGCCTCACACCTCATACTACCTTATGTGACGGGTTCCAGATCACCATCACCTCACCTGCAAAAGCAGTCACTTGTAACCATTTAACAAAATGGACATTTACCTTAATATCTTTGTGACTTAATAACAGACAAAGATTCAAGACAATGCATCTTTAAAGGAATTTATACTCTAACAAAAGGACTGACTGGTGAGGTCCTACCGAATCCTGCTATAGAATTCCCCAGACTTTCAGACGTGGACTGGACTCTACCATCTTCACTCAAACGTGTGCATTTAATCATGCATCTTCATCATACTGACCCTAACATCTTGTAGACATGATTTTACATACGAGAGAAAATCCAACAGAGAATTGCTAAACTGCTACAGTTTACAGTTGGCACCCAAACTCACACTGAAGATGGCCCACTAATCCAATAATAAAAGGGGGCATAAAGGAGCATAAACATTAATACTAATGAGTTGGCCTGGGCCATTGTTACGGGTGCATGGAGCGTTTTTACCAAAAAGCAATCTGGGATTTTAATTCTCTTTTACCTCTACTGGCCAGTCAGCTGTAATAACAAGGGAATTAGACAGTTTCCACTAAATCTCAGTAGCTTTTCCAAGCTGTACTAGATGAGTTAAACATGCACAAGCGGTTTAACAAAGTTCACACACGGCTCTGTGTACCCTCAGAACGGAACCACAATGGAAGACGGCGAGAACAAATGTTCTGGCATTCAAACCTGACTGCGCCACGCAGTTAACAAACACCCTTAGATCAGTCCTGGGGGGCCGGAGACCTGCAGAGTTTTTGGTTTACCCTCATTTAACACACCTGATTCAACTCCTTGTGCTAATTGCCACATCATACTTCGACAGTTCCAGGTTGTACTTACAATACTCATATAATTAACGCTGAAAAAAATCTCTAAGAGAAAAACGTACAACATTTAAAATTTAAATACAAGGTCTAGCTAAAACACCAACTGGAACTCAACCTTCATTTAAAAATATTCTGTAATAAATGATTTCTTTTAAAGCGATTACCACGTAAATGTGGCCGTTCCTCACACAGCAGCATCACAGGTGACGGCAGTGAACCTTCTCAGTCCTTCCTATCCTTCCAGCCACGTTCATTTCACCTCATTTCTCCCTCATGCTTATCTTGTTTGTCCATCCCAAAGCAGCATGTCATGTGAATTCAGCCACTTTCAAAAAAAACACAATACAGATTTTCTCAAAAACTGGATGTATCATTCAAACCTGGAATTTCTTTTGTGATTAAGAAAGCATCCAACCATCCATCCATCCATCTACCCATCCATCTACCCATCCATCTACCCATCTATCAACATAGTTCTAATGAATTAGTTGTAAATCACGCAAGCACCTCTGTGTGTCTCTCTGCCTTGTGCTGCACTTGTCCGCAGTCCAACAACCCCCAGGATACAAAATCCGATGGGCAGCTATTTAAAAATGAACAAATATTGAGTATTTCATAGTTTATGCAAACTTTCCATTTAATTACTTTTATGCCTATAAACATTGAACCCGCCAATCATTTTTTTTCAGCCATATAAATTGTTTATTCCCTGTAATGTGCGACCAAGACATGTGTTCTAACATTCAAAAGCGCTTATGTATTTTCATATTCCCGCTCAATGGGATGGCCAACTGGCCCGGCCGAACTGTTTTATAAATAAAGAGTGTGTGAAAATATGGTTCTGATTAAGCTGTTGTCGCATAAGTCGAGACTTGCGAGAAGCAGACCGTTGTCATGACAATGGAATCGGCACACGAGGTAAAGTCTCCATCTAAAAATATCTCTTTCTTGGGGCTCCTCGTAACTACACACATACACACACACACACACACACACACATATAAACGCCATGCTAAATCAGCTGTGACCCAGGAGCACAAACCATGGTAAAAAAAAAAACATCTATTGAATTTCTGGGAGATCACTATGTCACAGGCAGATCATTCCAAAACTGCTTATAAAGATTTTTTCTTAAATGCATTTTAATTTGATCCACACATCTCTGTGGGGGTTCAGTGGTTGCTGCGTGGCTCTGTGTGTGTCCCAGTCTGAGACAAACGAAGTAGCAGGCGGTTAACAGGTACTGACTGTCAACAGCGAACCACCACGGAGCTTATGCACTCAACGTATGCCTGGGGAGTGTAGCTGTATCTCTTCAGCTGGCGGGGGGGGTGGGGTAACGATGCAGTGTGTTTCATTTTCACCTCCCGGGTGCTCGGCTGCAGGGACGCCGCGACGGTGAGCCGAGATTCCCCCAACCGGGCTGTTTTTTCACCCTTGTTGAGTTTCAGCCAGGTGAGAGTGAGTTCCCAGAAAAGCCAGCACATGGAACACATTTAGCAGCAGATACCCCAGACCACTGGAGAGACCCTTCAGAATTAAACAGGTTGAGTAAATAGGACAGAGAGCACAGCTGCTCTACACACTCATTTCACGACCCCCATTACTCTTACTGTCACAACAATTCATTTTAATCCCTTCCAAATTGTTTGCAAGCTCCTCTTAGAGCAAACGGGTCAATTCTGAACATCACCAAAGGGGGAGCGACGTAATTGCTGGCTGACAGTTTCCAAATTCAAGTGGATTGACTTGGTCACATGGACTGCAGGAAACACTCAAGGGGCAGCCAGGTGTTATAAGCGTCACTGTGATGGTCTTATAGTATGAACCACGTTCAAGGGTGTAGCAATTCAGCTATAACATGAGAACAAATGTCAGGAAACGTGGTCTAACGAGACGAAAGCTCATCCGTGAAGGACCCTGAGAGATCTAATTGTCCTGTTTAAAAGGTATTGTGTTTCTCAATCTGACAGTCAATCTGTCCTCGCATGCCAAAAAACTGGAATGGGGGGGGGGTCCCTTGTGCCATCCTCCCCCGCCCCAGTAACCCTCAACTCACTATTCACTCATTCAGCCAGTCGTTGCTGGGGGGTAAACCATGAAAATATCGGGTCTAATTACTGTCAGCCCCAGAGACTTGATATGAGGCATAATCCACCAGAATACTTTGCTGTGGTGTAACCCCACCCAGGAGAACTGTTTGAAAGAAGGCAGAGTGGAACAGCAGGACAGGGGGGGGGGAACCTGTGCTCCAGGATGACAAAGAACGTCATTTCGAACAAGAGGGGGCCAGCGTGAAAGCGATACGAGAGTAACGGAAGGCCAACACTGTCCTAGAAGAAAAATAATGAATCATCAGCACTGTCCCTCACAAACGCAGCCCTGTAATAACTAATCAGGAGGCAAATACTTTGATGAGCTCTTTGGACAAGTTATTTCTTCAGGAAAAAACATTTAGCTGGAATCGCGGTGCCTGGAAGTCTGTATTTCTGATTACCTTGTCATTCGCATTCCGCCTCACTTCATCTGAAAGGAGCGTATATTGTTTGAGGGTGGATAATCCCTGCATGCGCTTTATCCCGCTAGCTTTTGTGTGCCTGGGAGCTGCCGCTTCGCTCTCTCTGGCACGGCTATTCAGATGTCGCGGCTGCACGGGGCCACAGACTCCGGGTTCATTCTTTCCACATAAACCCAGTCAAGGTACGATGAAAAAGCGCTTTAAAAGGTGACTTCTGCGGTGTTTCCGCTTTTGCATCCTGACAAATACAGTATCTACAGGGTTTCCGGCTGCTTATCCAAACAGGCAAGCTTGAGGTGTAAAGGTGTAAAACTGGTCGTACTTTTTTTTTTTTTTTTCGCACGCCTGACCTACAATCCCGCACGAACTCTACTTCCACAAAACAATAAGAGTAGCTGGCTTTTCCATGGAAGATAGTCCAATAGTTTCAATTGCTGCAGGTTTCTGTCGCTGTCGGGATTCAGATATATAAACAAACAATAGCTACAAGTTCTTTCTAAATACCTTTAATATTTGGAGGAACAGACGTCACACCCTGCAAGCTGTAGTGCAGCTTGATTATGAAAGCTTCTTGATTAGAAACGTCAGCTAAATTAGCGTTAACATTAAACTTTTCTTTAAATAATAAATGGCAGAAGGTTGAAAGTTAAACACAGCATTTCGCCCAGGGATATATTTTTCTGTGCCTCGCCCTGGACTTGACCCCGTAAATTCAGCATCCCATCCGCTCCTGAGTACCTGGTTTTCGCCTGCGGCGGCTCTGATTTCTAAAATAGCTATGCGGCCAAGTATACGAAACTGGTTGCGCGAGTGTTTTTTTTTTTTTTTGCAGCCCTTTCAAAACAATTCTGCAGACTAAACAACAGCCAAGGACGTGCCTGTCTGTCAGGAAGACCAAGGCCGTTCAAGCGGGGCATTATCGGACGAGGCCTGTTGAGGCTGCCACACTCCCTCCCTTGCCAGAAGTGAGACCCAAATATCGGGCAAAACGTCTCCTGCTGGCAGCGGGGCAACCCGGGCAGCACGCACCCCCTAGCCTGAGCACGCCAGAAGCTTTAAACTGATCCCAGCGTAACGAAGCTTAACAAGCCGAGCCTGTTTCCATCGTTAAGCGCGCTAAGGTCTCGGGCGAGCGTAGAAAGGATCTCCGTATTCCAAAAGGTGAACGTTTCTAATAATAAAACGCAGACTGAGGCCTAATCCCAAGACCATTGTGTCTTCCAGAGGATTATAAAGGCTTAGAAATCCTAAACTCAAATTCAGTGGGTGGTCGAAGCAACATCAAAAATCATATGTAGCTACTGTATGATATGGATAAACTGCATATAGATTCATTGACTGTTTCTTCATTCCTTCCTCCTATAACTCAATCAGTACACATGAAAAAATAAAATGTGAGACTAAAGAAGCCAAAAACTAAGAAAGTTATGGCTTAGACTTGTTAGATTTGTTAGACACATACATACCAATAAAACACCTGCACCATTCTCGGTGAAAAGACCAAGTCTAATTCCCGATACCTGACCTAAAGCACAGAGTACAGAAGGAGACCAAAATAACTGATGCAGTCATAGGGAATTAAAACACATTTTTAAAAATACAAAAATGTGAGAGCATACAAATCGGTCTAGTTGTGTGACAGGGCAATAAATTATGAGAATCACACAAAAATATTTTAACATCCATCGCTAACTAGAGCAGCCAAAAGTGTCAACCTCACTGGAGATGCAACTGGAGTAACTGAGAAAACATTTAGCATACGGTCTCAGCGCTTAACACTAGCTGCTCTTCACTTTACCCGTTAAGCGCTGAGCTGTACGATACCCGTCAATGCTGTTGTCAGCATAGATATGTGAACATGGTTCAGGATTTAACCTGGGGTCACAACCACCTCAAACACATAGCACAATAAACAAACAGACAAATAAATAAATGTTAAAAAAACCGAAGCTCTTAAACTTCACTTCTCCGTATCACAGTAAAATTGGTCAAGAGGAATCACGCATTTTCCAAAGGGCAACGTTAGTTAATAAAGCACGTTAATTCTGGAAAGCCAGTGCTTCGCTATTCTCCACAGTAGGGATTCTGCTCTGGTGACTCTGTTAATTGAGGAATGTTAAACTGAAGAGAAGCTAAGCTGAGATACAAATGTCTTCCTGGACATACAAGGAATCACCCAGCCACGGTTGGACATCTGCAGTATTTCTGGTTTGAAAAGATTTAGCATTATGTTGTTGTTTTTTTTTTTTNCCCCCCCCCCAAAGCGTGCAAATCTAGGAGCCACTAACCCTCCCCAAAAAAAGGTGAAGGCCCTGGTGTACTGTTTCACAGTCTGCCACTCGCTGGTCTATCAGGGCAGGTGAGAAAATGGCCTCTCATTCTCTTCCTTTTCTTTTTTTTTAAGGCAACTAATCTCGTCTCAGGTTCAGGAGCCGCCGTCTGGGCCTTTTGACAAGAAGGAAGCGCTGGGTGGGTAAACATCAGGGCTCTCAGTGCCGGGATTAAGACGTCCATATATCACCGTGACAACACCCTTTCAGCCACTGACAGGCCGGCCAGGCCTGGCGCGGGGGGGATCCGATGTCACTTCCTATCGCCGCTGCGACCTTTGATAGGGGATAAAATCACCATCTTCACACCCAGCGGATCAGTTTACCGCCACTGCTCTGGAGCGAGTGGACAGAGAGCACTCTCATTACTTCCCTCGCCTCACGGGTGTCGGGCATGGAATCAGGACGCGTCATCTATGCGTGAATTAAAACACGCAAGAGAACCGCATGGAAACGGGGCAGCGGCAGACGGCTCGTCCAAAAAGTGCCCTACTTCTCCAACGTGATTTTCCGAAATTGTTAACAGCTGGGATGAAAGTATTTAAAACTCCCTTTTTATTCTGCATGCATGACTGAAAGGGTCCAGTCATATATATATATATATATAAAAAAAAAAAAACATTAAGTAGTTTTTAGAAAGACGAAGATGGTGGGTACTTAAGAAGTGTACACTCCATTACCTCACATTTTACGTATGTAACATTTTACTTTTAGGATGACGTACCTCTCAGGCTGGAAAGCCAAAATCTGTCACATGTCCCAGAGAGAGCCCCACTCCTCTCATAGCTGTGACATTTCACGAAGATTAACACGCCATATATGTGTTACCCAGATAACCATGGCTGTATGAAGGCACAGACAGCTGCTTTCCCAGTATTGCCCCTTAATGCCTAAATCTCAGCATCAGAAATGATTGTTTTAGACAGCTTGTATACGCAGGAGATTGACCTCAAACTCAATCACCCCATTTGCATTATACAAGATGAAATTAAACGTGACACTGAAGCTTTATTTGCATAAATATGCTTACTCATTTTTAACAACGATATCTGTTTGTTATTCTGCTTGTTGGTCTGTATTTTCCAGTCTAACTTTCTGCAATTTCATTATACCAAAATAAGCATAAAGACATTCAGTAAACGGACATTATGTCCACTTTTTAACATTCAGCTTTCTGTTATTATTGCAATTAAGTCCTCTGATCTCCTTTCATGCCACAATACAACCTAGTTATATACCCAGCATACAATTTTCATTTCTTTTACATTCATTGTAAAAACCCACATGGCTCTTTACATGAGGGAAAAAAATCAACATGTTCGGAAAATGCTCAGAAATGCGTAAAAATTTAATAGATTTTTTTTTTTTAAACTTAAACAACCAGAAAATGTAGCCCGACTCTAACTAAACTAAACGGAAAGCAGAACTCGAAAAAGCTGACGTCCAGTAGGACTCTAAGCCATTACTATTTACATAATGAAATTCACTAAATATATAAGAAAATGCAGAAATGCCACAGACTGCACAGAAGACGGATACCTGCTGCAACTCAGTGAAATTAAAATACTGGTGCTCTACACTCAGTTTACAAGTCATATTAATGCAGACTTAGTGTGCTTGGGGTCAAACTCACAACAGGGAGGACTGGAAACAGTTTGGAAAAGCTTGAATTAGACCATCTGGGAAAAATTACCTCTATCACAGTAAACATATAAGGGATGATTTATTCAGGTTCTTTATCTGCCGTTCCACTATCTCAGGGCGACTTATATTTTAGCACGGCGAAAGGCGTTTTATCTTCATCAACCCTCTGCCCCCATTTTTTCCCTAATAAGTGAAATGGTAAATAGTATAGCTATGCCCTGTTTGCACAGGTTAAGCGAAACTCCAATGCAGGCCCAGCAATGAGCCTGAGCTGCTGCCCGACGGCGCGATTTGAGTCGGGTCTGCTGGAAATCCCGCTCAGTCGCAGGCCCCGGCAAGGAAGAGTCAGAGCCCATGACACACGGACATCAAAAAGAATTACCCGCGCATGACTCTCCAACCCTGTGAAAAATCGCCTTATTTGTAACTCAGCTAAGCCATTAAATTCGTACTTGCCCTGTCAGAGATGACAGGGCAATGGCAAAAGAAACCATGGAGACATTCCTGGGCTGAGAGGCGAGTTTTGCCATTCATTTATAACTTCATACTCCTCTCAAGTGATACCGCCGCCTATTTGTCATGCTTAGGTCTTAGAATAACCTTCTCGTAAATAGATGTCTCAAAAATTCAAGCCACATGTTGCCTTCTGGGCACACATTCCGCAAATACGCTCAGGTTTTATATAACTGGTGTAATAAAAGAATTTATATATTCTAGGCATAGTTATATACATTGCGATACATATATGTATATTTGGAAAGAAACAGCAAGTTGACTGTGCTGGTAATAGTTTTCTCATTTTTAGAGCAACGCCACCATTACAAAATGTCATCAGGGTCAAAATGTAAATCGATTTGGCTCAGCTCTGCAGTGGCAACCGTCCAGCTGGGACGTCTGTAGGCACCTGCATGAATGCCATGGCCTCCAGCGCACGCTGTGGACATGCGACGGGGACACGTGCCACAAGAAAATCACTGCTGCTATCAGCTGAGTAAAACTATGAGGCCCACTGATTGGTCGTGGTCCAACGGGCCAGAAGCTCCTGAATACCTTCCAATCTTACTTGCTCCCGTCATCATTTTTTAAGTAGCACACTTCGAAGGAACTGATAAAAGAATGCTTCCAATTCTCAGTCAGCCACATAAAAGTGTAGCCCTAACAATTGGCTCCAAGATCCTAGCTATAGACCCAAAATAGCTATCAAATCATTCCCGGTACAGATTTTACTTCCATAGTACTTATGCACATGCTTATACAACTGTTAACTATCATACAGTTAATATTCTGATGATCACGAATAAGTCAAAATTGTGAGAGGTGGGGGAAGGTGGGGGTGTGGGTTGGGAGGTGGGAGGCATACCTCATTGTGATTAAGCAGGATGGCGTAAAGTAAAATATTCCTGTGTTTTGCTTCCATTGCCAGATGTCTGATGGCACCCAACTGTCCCATTCTTTCAGTCAGGGAGGAATGCGGCAGGACACTGAAATGCACCTATGAAAACAGCAAGGCGCAGGGCTAAGGAACACCTTGGAGATACAGGAGGCTTCACAGCGAGCAAGAAATATCATCCATGTCTCATTAGACATACTAGGGCTCAGAGGCCTCCTATATTCTGGATTGGTGTCAGAAAATGCACTAAGCACAAATCAGTCAGGCTTTTAAGTGTCTGGGAAACAAACGTGGAAGAGATTTCCAGGTGTCGAGGAACAGCACAGCTACCTTTCAAACTACTGTGCAAGAACCCCCATTAAGCCATAAATTTACCCCAAAAAAGTCCCAAGTATTATAACCATAATTTCATTTACTAAACTATAGAGATAACAGTGATATAGACGTAATGGAAACAAATTTCAGTACAAGAAGAGCAACCAGTAATTCTTGGTTTATAAATTAAGTATATTTGGTGTGAAAAAGACCATCTTAAGTAAAGAGGAAATAGATTAAAAGAACACGATGAGCTCAATACTGAGTTTCCGACATTACGATGGATATCTGATGCCACTCAGAATTTCATAGCTAGCCCAGCTGGCCGCACGTGCCCGATTCCGTGAGTAATTCAGAGCGCCCTCTACCCTCCTTCCAATGTGCTACGGACTGGAGAGGTGCCAGGGAAGTCCTCAGGCCAGGAGTAAATCAGCCTAGCCGTCTTAATAAAGCCCAGTATATTTTGGGTAACCTTGCGGCTCATGGGTAATTTCACACGGCACTAAGGCTTCCACCCCAGCGAGGCGGGGACCCGAGAGCGACTTCAAAGGGACCAGCCGCGATGTCCCCACGCCAGTGGGGACCCTCGCCCAGGAGAGGACTGGGCCCCGCTTATGCCGACGGCTTAGCCAGGCCATAATCTGCCAAATCGATTAAGAGGGACTCACTGGGGGGGGGCAAGGGCCGACCTGTGTGGGGACTTTCCACATGAGAAGAAGCTGGAAATTGAAGCTTCTCTCTGAGAGAGTTTCTTATGATATAGGAGTCCTGTGTTGGCAGAAGGAATAAACAAGGATTCAGCCATACCTCAAAGCTACAGTCAGGTAGAGCTGAGACTGCCAGCAGTTGATGGGTAAAAGCTAAAATGCATGAGAGATTTAGCATCATAAAGGGAGTCGGTTCCATTTCCTAAAGTATTACGGCTTTTCTGTAACCAGATGTTGGGTGTTTGAAAAACCCACACAAGGAAGTTCAATGATAGGGTGGGAAAGCAGGATTGAGCGGAGACTGCACCAGCTCACACGTGCTCCATCTCCCCCCAAGGACAACAGGGTTGCTGCTCTCCGTTCGATTACGGGCTGGGGCCCCCAACTCCCCAGGCGTCGCTGGCTCATGGTTACACCCCCACACCAAGAATCGCCACAGGCTGCAAGGTGAGGAGACTCAGAGGGGCTAAGCCACAAAGGGGGGGGGGGGCTACGGAAAGTCGAGGGAAAGTGCAGATGCTCAGGGTCACCACAGAATTGTCTGGCTCCCTACTAGAGCCAAGAACTTACCAAGATCAGGACAGCGGGATAAAGGAGGGCTTGGCCCGCCTCGTGGAGCGTCTTGACTGTCCTGCTGATCTCAGCCAAGCACGCGATATTCGCCTTTGATAAATACGAGAAAGCACAGGGAAAAAACAATTAAATTTAACCTCGTAACATTACATCATGGGAAGACGTTATATGTAAAAGTCTGGAAATATGTATTTGGGTGTCTCTGACATTCATTTTAACTCACAGTGATATGGATGAAATTCCAGGTCTTTGAAACCAACGGCTGGTTGTTCCCGAATGAGCCCGATATTACATCCACCTGCTTTAAGGCACAAAACAAAGTTACTTGAGTTATTTCATCCCAGCCTCCACCGCTCTGCTCCCCCAATTAAAGACCATTTTTCCCCGCCCCATTTCCCCTGCAAAGCTGGCCAGGCCTCAGGTCAGTCAGAAGGCCGTCCACTGGCTCTCGGGGTTGTCATATTTTTTATTTTCTAAACAAAATGTGGCAAGCCCATAACTTACCGAAAAAATCTCCCTAATAAAGCCATGACACACTCAATGAATAACTGTTCCTGGCACCGTGAAAGTCTCTAAACACAAAAGAAATAAACATGGCCACAAACATCCGGGCTTTGAGCCCGGAATACGCTCGGAATTGTGCAACTGATATGTTAAAATAAAATTAAGTGGGAGTATTAAAAAGTGATATGAGAAACACAAAGAATTGCATTGTTCTGGAAAGATAACTGGCCATGGAATGGCCCGGAAACTCTTAATAATAAAAATTCCAACTGTTAAAAATGTGATGATATCATTAAAGGCTAGCCTTATTAAAGCCTGCTTTAGCATTAGCAAGACATAAGAAATCGGTTTATTTCTTTGCAAACATATGGTGCTGCTTCCAAAGCCACACTCCACAGCTGACATGGGGCATTAAAGGCGGCTTATAGGACGTAGGTATTGCTAATCAGTCCACGACTTCTGCAGAGGATTTAAAATTCATGTTCAACCCGTGTTCGGAAGCTCTGACCACGACCGCATCTTCACCTCCTGTCCAATTCGCGACTGGCGGGATTTCAGGCCAAACGGCTCTCAGTTTCTGTGCTCTTCCTGTCATCAAAGTCCTGTTTTATCCTCACGCTTTCTGCTGATTGGGGGAGCGTAAAACAGAGAATGGTGGACTTGTCCTGACCATCACTGCAGTTCCCCATCACATACTGCAAAGATTTCCTCTCGAATTTCATTTCCGACTGCCGCTGATTAAACGCACGTGTGCTTGCCTCTTGATTCACTCAGAGATAATATGGAAATATTGTTTTAGATTAAACTCAGGGCATGCTGGGTGACAAGGGCACGTACCACAACAGCATAGTGTCTACAGCAAACTTCCCCTTGTTTAATGTAATAAACACATCCCTGCACAGAGGGAAAAAAACACCACAAAATTGGTGGACAAAAACAAAATTTTAACTAAAGAAAGAAGATTAAGGGCAAAAATGACCTTCCAGTTATCTACAAGGAAGGCCAGACAAACAAGTAAATCACTATTGGTTTTCAGGCCAACATATTAAAAACTACAGACAAGTGTAACAAATGAGTGCATTTGGATTCTGAACAAGTCTTACATCTGGTAGTCAGTGCTTGCATAAATTTATGCTTTGGTATCTGCTTAAATGTGAACATTTATATGTATAAAAGGAGAAACAAGGAAATCCATAATAATATTGGCGTATGAAGGCTGTAATCATGTGACGTTCGTCCAAACGAATGAAAAGAGAGACGATTTGTGGTTCTCTTACCGGTGAGGAATCCCATTACAATTTATTAAAGGTTTCTGCAGTATTCCATAATATTTCCTGGCTTATAAGAAGATGCAGCAATCAATCATAAAAAAGCCCTTTCACTAGTTAACACCTTTGTCCTTTACTCTGTCTGAGCAAGAACATCTATGCAACTAAAGCGTTACATTTTATAATGTGACTTAATCAGCAGCTCTAAAAAAAACTGGGGATGAGTTATGAGTTACTAGACACCCTTGTGTGACTGACCTAAAGCAGGTTACTGTTACTATCATGATTGAGTTTTGATTAAAAGCACACCAAAGGCATATAGATCACAGATACACTGTTCATTTTTCTTTTTCCATAGAAATATCTTTCTTCGGTCTCTAATTCCCAGGATGCTCAGGATTAATCCTTGCACGTGTGCCACTCTGCTCTGGATTTGCACGGATCTCGCTTCGTGGCCCTGGAAAGAATCCGTCTGCACTGGAACACAAGCAACGGAGCCCAGCATCTGTATGCCACAGAAGCTGTTTGCAATCAGGCAGGACACGAACCAGAAGCTCCTTTCGGATTCCGGCAGCGAATCTGCTTGTCAAAATCTGACGAAGGGCTCCAGCTTGGCTGTCAAGCTGTAAGTTGGCCAACTTGACATAAATCGTGAGCCTTTCCAGTGCCCCCGGCTAACACGAACAGCACATCCGCCCAGTATCATGGAAGGTCCTGTGGAAAATAAGGATGCGACTCTGGAAAACCGTCATCTACAAAAAACAAAAAAAAAACCAGGGCGAGAACAAAACGGGCGTGTGCACTTCGCTGTCACAGATTCTGGATCCGTTTAATTCTTATGATGTACATAAAGGGCAGTCCAAAAATGAATCCCATCTGGGTTTGTCAGTCTGGGAAGGGAGAGGTGCAGAGTGTGTGTCAATCTCAGACAAGCCCCATTAGAATTCTGGCTGCAGATGTCCACGCTGCCTAGCCCACCCAGGCAAGGTCCCTAACGAAATGAGCCTGACGGAGGACAGGGCCCATCAGAATGACCGGGGACAATCGTGGGGGTGAGTGAGCATTCTGCTCTCCTCTCAGCACCACCTTACCATGCTCCTGGCTCCAAGGCTCTTCTGAAACCTGTGAGCCAACTCTGCTGACTCTGCACAGACAGTCGTGATAACACAGGCCTGGGACAGGAAGTCTGAAAGGAGGGAAGGAGGAGAAGGACGTCAGGATTCTCACACCCCATCATCATGTATCAGCTGTGCATGACTCTGAACATGGTCCCAAGGTGATAATGGCAGGCCTTCATCAGTAGCCATTAATAACTTGGGCACCGCCGTAATGCATTTCTGTTGACCCAGCGTAAAGTCGCTGCTCTTTCTGGAAAAAATACACACAACCGTGTTCTCAGTACCTCAGGGCCACACAGAGATGAGGTGTTGTGATGTCGCCCAACATAGGCCAACTCGACTGCAAAGTTCCAGATGCATACAACAATGTACACACAGGCCTAAGTCTGACACTGTATTAGCGCTGACAAATGGGGATGTTAAAAAGTATACATAGTGTTCTTACAAAATTATAACCAACTATTTAAAGCTATCCGCCCCCCTCCCAAAATCAGATTGGCCCTCCAGGTCCTCTCCATTTTCATTGGCTCTCAAAGATGTCAATTATAGGAAGTACAACAGCTTTCCAAAATGCATGTAACACGACTACAATTTTTGTAGTTCCCAGTACTGCAGTGATACGCACGAATTATAGCCATAATTATGTTGTAATTTAAGCAAATATGGCATTTTTTACTTTGCTCATTTTTCCTCTTCAACTGCCCCACCCCTGAAAATAATCTTGAACCAGGCAGCTGCTACCACTACTTTGTGGAAATAAATTTGAATTTCTGTGCTCCGAAGTCCAAGGGCATAACCACGTGCTCATAAAGACGAGATAGAACCAGGGACTCTGGGGGTGTCGTGCTGAGGGAGAAGGTCAAAGGCAGGTCAGAGCGTTCATTGTATTGGAGAACCACAGACACACTCCTACCTAATAAATGTCCACACTCACAGAGACTGTCGCAACATTTTACCAAAAAATAACATCTGTCAAACTAAATAGATATTTTTCTTATCTTGTTTTTCCTTAAGTGTTTTGAAAAAGTCCTAAAATTATGACAAAACTGTATAATTGCTTATATTTTATTTAAACAAAGATAAAAAGACACTGTCAGAATTAATCAGATGTGAACAAATATTATGTATGGCACAGAAAGCATAAAAGGTAGATTTAGATGACTCATCAAATTCTAACCCAAAGTAAGGGATCATCCAAAATTAGACTGACACAATGTGTGTGTTTTTTTTTTTAATAAAAATTGATGACATTTATTCAGAATACCAGGCTGCAGCTTGTCAAGTTATGACAAATTTTTCAGGACGGCTTTGGAAAAACATCAGTTTTACAGAAATTACGTTTGACATATGGCTTGTGTAAGATTATCAGTGCTTCAGACAATGTAATCAGTGTCACGGCGGGTTAATCTGGATTAGGGAGGCCTTGTGCACTAAATGTGCCACACTCTTCTATGCTATAGCGACACAAAAATGCATATTAAATTAAGTCCCTAATACTATATATATATATATTTTTTTTATTTACCAATAACTAGGGCTGGGTATCATTAAAAAAAAAATTATACCGTTGTATATGATGGGTAGTCTGGTCACTGTTCTTTCACTCTCTGGTCAAATTCCTCCAAAATCACTTCTACTGTGTTTAGGTCAGGTGGCCAGATCACGTGGTGCATCACTCTCACTCTCCTTCGTAGCTGGCTTGGCGTGTCCAAACTTTTGACTGATACTATCTATCTTGTGTAACGTTACCGATCACCACCAAATTATTAGATCTTGATACAAGCCTGCTGCATGTTAACGGACACTGATGATACTTAATCCTTGGGTATTGAAATCTGGAACCGAATGACAAGGCATTTTTGAGAGTTGATAACTTGGTATCTGAGCAATTCGGTCAGTGCCATAAAAGCATCAAAGTTCGGTACCCAGGTCTACCAATAACGGAGAAATTACAGAATTTACAGCCAAGTCTTCTTTTCTCTGATAAGAAAATGCACATGCTTCATTTATTTCACAATGACACTGTTTTGGGTGAAAGCTTGCCATGAGACAGTCTGTCGAGCCTGGCTATCCATCACAAATATCTGACTGGTTATTGGCTCGATTTACTTAAGACACAAAGGCTTCATTTTCTTTAATCCTCCCGCTGATTTGGACTCTATTTGTAAAGAGCAGTTTGATCACATCTATAGATTTCGACCTGCCAAGAGAAGGTGAAGCTCCAAGCCTTCTGGTAATTTCATAACAATTAAAGTCTGTTCAGTTTATTAAACAGACAATAAAACTGGGTACAGAAACAAACACGCAAAACACTAACCTTTAATTACAGATTCAGCAGCAAAAAGATCTTTCTTGTAAGTCACCTGTCAAACAGAAAAGTCATTAGAAATCTGTAAAACTAACATCTGATTGATAACCGCATTTATATCTTACTTTGCAATGTAACNCATGGTGAAATTAACTACACTGACTCCTTAAGTCCTATCAACTGTCTAACCTACAAATAGTTTACTATTGCAGTGTTTCCCAATCCGGCCCCTGGGGACCCACAGGCAGTCCACGTTTTTGCTCCTACCAGAAGCAAAAATGTGGATTGACTGCGAGTTCCCAAGGACCAGATTTAGAAACACTGTGCTATAGGATACTGAGCCTCTCATTGGTGATGGTCCTCACCTTCCACAGAGCAGGGGGACCTTCGATGAGCTTTGCATTGGTGCCACAGTACTGCAGAGCCAGGTGCAGGCACTCAGTCCCAAACTCAAAGTCGGACTCACTGCACTGTTGACGGAAATCATACTCATGGATCATTCACAGGTACTAGGGATGCAAACAGCCATTCAGAATGAGCGATAGAAGGGGCTGGGGGCTTCATATCTTAGCAGAAGCCCATTTACGGTACACATGGTTAACAGATTCACACAGATGAATAAAGACAAAAATGCAGTCGATTGAAAAGGAAATCTGATCTAGCAGTTACCTCATACGCAAGAGAAGCTGCACAGATTATGAGATCCCAACAACGTTACCTGAGATAATATGAGGTCAATATTTTATCTGGTTGCAAGAGATGTATATTTTCATGGCCTTTGTTACTTGGAGCGAAACAAGGCAAGAAATTTGAAATATATGGTCGTAATTTAACCTTTCATTGGTCCCTTTACTCTGGAAGACATGGAGGAAGGATTGTGTGTCTTGCCCTTTGTCTTATAGACCCCGAGTGCTACCAGACTTAAAATACAAGTCAACACTTCACAGGCTGAATCCGCGACTCATAAAAACTCTGCAGGACTTTGTGTCCTAAAGCACTCCACTGACGGCTACCTTATACTTTCAGCCCCTTTGAGAAGACAGCAGCAGTCACATCAATACCCCATTAGTTCCCTCCTGTTCTGCTTCATCTCCATGTCCCTCTCCACGCACATCTAAGTGAGTTTCTCCCAGCAACACTGCCATCTCACCAGCCTTAAAACTGCCTGGCAAATTTTGCACCCGCAGCGTTCAAAGGGATGTTTGGACCGAACACGGCGTCCAAGAAATACAAACTACTCTTGTGCCAGGAAGAAAAATAACTTGAGACAAATTGGATTCCAGTGGAAAACATAACTTTCTCCCTGTCTCACAGGGCTCGCAGACCTCTTCAGTCAAGGGTATCTAAATAACAATCTAGCAAAGCTGGAATTCAGTACTGAGCAGGCAACAAGCAGGGTCTTGGAAGAGCAAACAGGTGAGATGACAGTCCAACAGGACATAAAGCCCGCAAGTTTACTGAGTGATTAGAAGCTTATAATTCAAGATAACAGCTGGAACTTGCTACAGGCTTAGGTATAGGTAAACATAGTTTTTCATGTCTTCTTTTTCTACAAAAAAAAATTCAGTCACACGTGTAGAGCACTTGAGAGGCTATCGGAAAATGATACGGCATTCCCTTGTGCAGAACAAAGCCACTCTAGCAAGCATGATCGAGGCGTCTCGTAAATGATAGCGGCTATCCCGCTAGGTCTTGGGCTTCACACTCTACAGGTCCCGGCACATCTCGCGGACAATGGAGGGTGTCGGGCCAGTGGTTGTGAGCTATTATGTGTGGTATAATAAAACATGTCATATAAGAGCAGTGTGATGCTTTAATTATTTAGAAAATCATAAATCTTTGTACTAGATCAGTTAAGGCATTTTACACACTTCATAAAGACGACCTCACAGGAACAACCTTCCAAGGTTTATGTGTGTTTTATATATGAATCTCCTGACATGTGTGACATGAAGGACCTGATTACAAAGTGAATACAGAGCTGGTTTCTTAATAAAAGCCTCTTACCAAAAACTGCTGCATGATTTATAGCTTTCCGTCTTTTCATTTACGAGACAAATGAAACTGCCCTATGGGCCAACTATTAAAAATCTCTAGTCTGCCGCTGCTCTTTTAAATCACCAGGCCCAAATATCTGCTGAAAGGTTTGCACTTTGAGGTTCTTAAAAAAACCCGCCCTGGCATAATGATACCTGGTGATTTGCTCACTTGTAGAGCGCTATCGTTTTTGAACTCGCAACCCCTTTATCATAAGTTCTGTGCACTTTCCAGGAAGCACTTACCTGCTGATAAGCCTGGTAGATGATGTCATATACAAATCCTTGTGGCATCTCGCTTGCTCTGTATTTAGCCCTTTCCAGAGAGTGGTCTATGTAGCCTTCTGACGTCGTAGCTATTACCGTGGAAACAAGAGGCCGTATAGCTCCAGACGCCTAATTCATAATAAAAAAAAATGAATAATGGATCAACTTAAATAAATTATTTTCTTGACATTGTTACAATATTGATCAAAACTTATTTTCCCAATTGATTTCTATTAATGAAACGTTACACAGTCTGAGATCAAATGTATGTCACTGGTATGACTTAATACTAACCAAAACTGCATAATCGGTAGCTAATCATCTCCATACACAGAATCTTGTTTCCCTTGAGGATATAAGCCTCCAAAATAAGTGTCTGACCTACACAAAACAAAGAATTCTTAGTGTTATGCTAATGCTAACTGCCCATCATGTAAGTAGTCAGGGCTTAAATACTCAATAGAAGATAAGAGCAAACACATGTTGTGTGTGTGTGCCTCACGTGTCACTGAGATCCATATTAATCTCGAAGTCCAAAATGGAGATCTTGTTTCCTGAACAATCAGGGATAGTGACACATTAATGAACTCCAGACTACGGTCGGGTTTTTAGTCCTGTATGAAACAAACAAGAGGAAACTACATGTCTTTGGCCTTTTGGTTCCTTGTTCAATAACTGTCCCAGTCAACTCCAGTTACACATGCCTTGCTTCTCCAGGTGCCCCTTAAGAAAACTAGACTATAAGTATCTACTGACTGTTCCACTAGATTACTATAAAAAATATATTTCTGAAGGGTCTATTCAGAATGGATTAAATATCCATCCATCAATCCATCTTCTAATCGCTTAATCTGGTCAGGGTCATGGAGGGGCTTGGAGTTTGGGAGGAATATATGCCAAATAAAAATACTTTACTTAAACCCCTTGGCATGCTATAGCAGGCAGTTGTTGTTTTAAACACTGGGTGCAGCCACACCAGTTATCTCCCATTACAGGTTTCTACTGGTTACATTCACTGGCAGAGATATGAACTAAGATTAAGATATAAGACCTACACCATTGAATTAACTCTAAAACACTTATCCACGTCAAAAACATGTATTTACTGTGTTTTCTACTACATAAAGCAAACAATGTCATAGTCACGTAGTCTTGTATTACAGCTGCTTAAATAAGTATTTCCAAGTTATGTGGCAGCAACATCTAATGTTTCAGTTCTACAACCACAAGTTTTTCTTTTTAACCAGAACAAGACTGTTCGATAATTCCACCGCACAGAAACAGGAAGCGTTTGCTGTGTTGAAAGAGTGGCTTGTGTGTCATCCTGACGGATTACAAAGGAAACCAAAAGCAGTCTGCAGGAAACTGTCTGTCTTTAGGTATGCTTTTTGTTTGCATGCTCAGTGACATGCATGTCAATTTCATCCGTCTCGACAACCCTGCTGAAATAAGGACTGGGAAATATTTTGTTTAAGGAAACAAAATATTGTCTGGTATCCCAGAAGGAATAAAAGATTTATACAAAACTAAACGTAGCACAAAGCCACACCTTTCATGAACACAAACTCTGGAGAATGTTAAACCCGCCATGCAGGAAGCTTATCTCTATGGCAAGTAGTGTTTTTGTGGTTTTTTCCCCGTTTGTTACCGACAAAATGTGTTACACAGTTGAAGCAGGGATAAATGGTGAACTAAAGAAAGACGGACTTACCCCTTGTTCCTTAGCAGCAATAGTTATCCTAAGAAGGAAATCTTCCTCAACAAAAGGCCTGACTGCATCATGGATAATGACCACTTTTGGCTTCCTCAGTGACTTTCCATCTGGCATCTCTCCAAAGGCTTGGAGTCCATTAAAAATAGACCGGTGTCTAGATGATCCACCAAGAAGCACCTTTACCTTCTTGTGACAGAACTTGTGAATGATGTCCATCATAAGATGAAGGCTTTCTTTTGCTACAACAACCACGATGTTTTCAATCCAGGATATTCTGTAATAAAAGGGAGAGCACATTATAGTACACAATATTACAGAATATTACAAGTTGAACAGTGAAGAACATGATGAAGTATCACAACAGATATCTGTATAGAATTCCACTGTAGGGAACAGATTGTGTATGCTTGAAAGAGATTACAGTGATTTATTTATGCATTTATTTATCCTTATAAAAATCGTGATGTTTATTTATAACAGTACAAATGCAATAAACGATGCAAGTTTAAAGTTGGACAAAAACTCTACAAACATTGCATAATCCGGAAAAAATAAGAATATTTGCAGGTTTGGTGGTCTGGCATTCTGTACATGGAAACTTGGGTCAAACGAGTTGTTCTGGTCCAGTAAATGGCTCATGCGTAAACAGTATTATGAAGTAAGTATGGGTATGTTAAATTTTCAATCTGCATAATGGACAATATTTAAATGAGGTTGGAAAAATACAGACCGTTTCACCCACAGCTGAGTATTAACACTAACGTATCCATGTAATAACGCTGGCAGTACAACTACTGGCACTACAAATAATTAAGTTTCAACATTTCCGAAGCCAATCCTGAAATGCTAAAACCGGTAGATGAAGGTCAGTTTTGGCGATTTATTGCTAAATATTAAACGGTTAGGAATTGTTCATTTAAATTAGGGTGACCATAGCTTGGTTTTCAAAGGAGCACATGGGGCAGGACGCAAAGTAAGGCGTCAAAGCGACGCGAATATTCAGACAAAAAGCATCCCGACTGCAAAAAGTCAAAGTCGACATGAAACAAACCGAAATCCTGTACATTTCAGGAAATTTAGAAATCCTGGCCGGACGTATTTTTAGGTTTAGGGAAAAGAGCACGTATGGTCATCCAAATATTTTCAAATGTATCTATCGAAATCACCACAAACGTAAATTTAAAGTGTGCATAAAAACAGACATTTATTTGGAGTAGCGTGATGTTATGGTCTCTTTATTGTAAGCTTGATTTGAACTTATTTCTTTTAAATAAAAGCCGAAGTTAAAGGCAGACGTTGCATCCCAAAGTAACTCAGTGGTTACTGCACCGTAACGTTTGGGAAAAGGATACGCCGCCTTTGCGCGGAATAACAGCGAAAATTCAGATACGAAGAACTTACTGAAAGGAAATTAAAGTGCATAAAAGAGAATACGGCAGCCAAATTTCAGGCTTTGCGGTAAATGCGATGGTAGCTTTTAGCCAGTTAGCTAGCTGGCGCTGCTGTGGCAACCATGGAAACGAATAGCTAGTTAGCTTGATAGCTGGCGGGCTAACATTTTATCTTTTGCTGTTAGAAAATCTTTAGCCTACTGAGTACCTCTCAAACGCTTGAATTGTGTAGCTTATCAAAGGTCTGTTGAAGACAGTGCAGAACTGTTTGGGGGTCGCCAACCCCATCCTTTCTCCAGATCCACCTGCTGGTAGAACCACCGCGACCGGGAAATCGATGCTGTCGTGTCCGGGGAATCGTTCACTCAAGTCAGATTCGTCTGCAAAGAAACCCGCTGGATGAGTAGGCCTGCCGCTACTCTCACAGCTGGTGTCCATTGTGAATTACGTATTTCAGTTCTGGACAGATTGGAGCTGTGCTGTCCGGGGATGTAGTAATTATAACTTTAAAAAGACTGTAAATGTTGGTCCTATCCCATGTCCTGCAGACAACGTGCTATGGAGGTAGAGCGGACCGACAACAACGCTGCTGTACAGTAACGAGCACTGACAAGCTGCTAGCCTGGTTCTTAGTATACCCCGTTTGAGCACTGCATAAAGGCAGTGTTTAAACTGCCTAGAGCATCTCCTAAGTTTAATCACAAACATAACGGGTATTTAATAATAATAATAATAATTATTATTATTATTATTTTAAATGCTGTTTTATAGACAGTGAGGTTGTGGTAAGACTGCCTGTTCGTGCGGTTTCTTGGAATTAATATTTCATTAGAGATCATCAGTAAATGTGGAAAATTGAACACAATTCCCGACGCCCATGACCAAATATATGCAGTCAGCCTATTACGTAACATTTAGACAGCGACACATTAACTTCAAAGTTTTGGGAATCCACCCATCCAATCATTAATTTATCCCTTTCTAATAACACTTCTCACTTCTGAGTCCGAAACGGCATCATTATCAGCAATGCAAAGGTAGCTGGGACAGCTATATCCGCACAAGTTAATGTTATTGTGTGTATGTAAGTATGCGTGCGATTTAGGCATCAGAGGTCAGGGAAAAAACATAAAAATATTTACATTTTTTTCCTCCTATACATTTAGGTAAACCTAAAAATATGTTTTAGTATATACAGTATACTGTCAGATATACAGTATTTGAAGTTATGTGTGCAGATACATGTAATTAATTGATTGAAAACAAGTAATACCACATAATTCAATTTATTACTCTGCTCACAAGAAAACATACAATATGCACCTAAACACACTATAGCTTACTAATGCCATTGTTACTCAGTGTCTGCATCGAACCTAACATACCAGTTATCAAATAAAACTAAAATATATAAAAATGTGTTGCAATACAAAACATATATTACATAATATACATATTTTATGCTTAAAAGTTTTATACAAAATGTTGTACTTTCAAATCAACTGATAGCTGATAATGAAATATATAAATATTTACACATATATACATTTAACATGTGCTATTTGAAATTTTAGGAATCTTCTGACATGCAAGTTTATCCTACATCAGTTTTTTTTTTGCATGCTACATTTTCTAAAAAGAGAGAAAAGGGTTTTTATATACAACATTTTAAATAGTATGAATACTTTGAAAAATAATAATGTTCAAAAATGCTGACTGAGGACTTGTTCTGCTGCTTTGAACTGCATTGAACTCTAATGGGAGATTAAACAGGCAATGGCTGCCTTCAGTTCTAAATGCTGGTGCCGGGATCAGTACAGTCTTTCCATGCTCCACGCGGGGGTGGGGGGGAGGTCAGGAACCACAAGTGCACCCTTGGCATGTCCGTTAGAGTGAGCAAAAGTCCAGGGCCGTGGTTTTTGGGTGACTTAGTTTTTGGGTCTTGCTTCGTGCCAGTTCTCATTCTGCTCTCCCCTGACATGTCTCCTATTGGCATTCACTTTCTGGACAGGCTGGGCTCGGGACTGATCCTCAAACTTGTGGGCCGACTCGTTGTGCTGCCTGGAGTATCTCTTGCACTTGCAGGAGGTGACCACAGTGATTTTGTATGTCCGTGTGCTCCCGTTCTGGCACTGCAGCTGGATCCGCTGGGTGCGGGTTTTGTCGTTCACACACCGCCAGTCCTGGTCATTCCGTCTGCTCCAGAACTTCCGCCCATAGCTCCCACCAATCCAGTTCGGTAGCATCTGCGCTGGGAGGCATTCTCCAGCACAAACCAGCTCCTTTATTGGGTTTATACTGGTGCACTGACCATCAGAGATGTATTTAGTTGACCGCAGTTCTCTGCACCCAACTTGGCTTCGATCTACTGCAGAGAAACAGAATAAATGAACATTTCCATCCATCCATTAATTGTATGAAGTACTTTTCTGGGTAAGTATCAGGGCAAAAGCTTTCAATGTATTACAATTTTTTGCTAAAGCAAGAGATTTCACACATACGCTTAGTTTTGCAGGGATCATCTTTTTATTGAATGATGTGACCTTTGACCTGATTTGATGTGTATCAAAGAAGATGGTTTGCCCCAGAGATATCTGCAGTCATCCGGTTCTGCCACTGACAGAGATTTGCTCTGGGCTATATGTCTTAATTCTGTAACCGATACCTCTACCCATTCACAGTGTCAGTATACACCTCAGTGACAATGGAATCATCCAGTGAATGGAGAGTCTTTTTCCAGCTCCGGGTACCTAACAATCTTTAATCAGAGACTTCCTATGCTGCTAAATTCACCTCCATTCACCCAGTGAGACACACCTTCTCTCAACGCATTGCGTAACTAACACATCTCTCCGGCTTCTCTGGGTGTCTGCCAGAGAAATATGTAATGCAGGCAACTTTGCCAAACTTTACTTCATCCCGTTTAGCAAATGCATCTGATATTGTCACTGGAGAGCATTATCAAGGTCAGCTGTGAAGAAATTTAGTTTGACACTATATTATAATTTATGGAACTAAAAAAATCGTTTTAAGCCATTAAAGTTGTAACTGGTTGCTGGAAAACAGAACAAAAATATCCGGAATACTTATTGTTTCAAAAGTGGGTATGGGAGAACTTATTTTAATATCTAAATGGATTGATTTTGTTTTGTTTATGTTTACCAGTGAAACCAAATATTAATACAACATATAAAATGAAGACGTTAACTGTTCGCATTTAATTGACTGCAAATTAATGGAAAAAATGGAATGGAAAAAAACTCACCACGTCTTTCAGTATTGCCCAAGCTTCTGCCGCCGTTTCTTGCACGATTCAAGGATGTGTTACTCGGAGCCTCTGCAACCGGAGTAAGTACTTGCGTGTAAAGGATTTCCGTAGCATCGTTCTTGAAAGTATGACAGTTCTTCAGAATAATGCAGAAAAAAAATATAAGATGGCTAGATGCGCATGTGTTTATGTGCATGGCTGCGTTTGCGTATGTCCAACACAAGTGCAGACCTCCCGCTGCCCGTCTGCGCTCTTCTGATATCTGCGTGAAGGTACTGCGTTACCTTTCTCTGAGACTTTTATATACCCGCTTCTTGTTTTGGCAGCAGCTCAGGTGCAGATGGTGGAAAGTTTCAGAATGAAGCGTAACTGGCCCCGCACCACGCCCATGTTCTTTGAGCCGAAAAAAAAATACTACTATGCATCAGTAATATCTCATACAACTGCTAAATTTAATAGTCAAGACAATTTAGCATAAAACATAAATAGCAGTAATAATAATGTTTAATTTCCTCCGGATACCTGAAGTAATCAGTTTATTCTTTTAAAAAGAACGATCAATGCTTTCTTTTAGTTTTGAATTTCTTAAGTTCGTTTACTCTTGTCATTTTCCCGACAGATAATATAGATTCAGAATTTCGTGTATTTCCGTTTAAATAATGCATAAAGGTCTACGCCAGGGTGAGCAGAAAATTTGTTTCAGAAACTTATGCTGATCATGTAAAATCATGTTTGTGCATTTTCTCATTGTGTGTTTAAATGAATTTAAAGATGTGATTTGGAAGGAATGTCATTATGGCATGTACAAATTTGAAACGAGTTCTTCAGTAAGAAAGTTTTATCACCCGGTTTTTTCCAGTTCAAACTGACTGTGAATGAATGAATTTATGTTACATTTATGTAGCACTTTTCAAGACACCCAAAGCACTTTACTGAAGTATAATGGGGAACCACTTTAACCACCACCACTGTGCAGCCCCCACCTGGATGATGTGACGGCAGTCATTCTGCGCCAGCACGCTCACCACACGGAAGCGGAGGTGGGGAAGGGGCAGGGGAGAATCCACCAATTAGATGCAGGGGATGATTAGGGGGCCAGATCTGATAGGACCACAGTGGGCAATTTCTCCAGGGCATCGGGGTACCACCCCTACTCTTTCAAAATCAATAGGCTAATTATCATTAATCATTTATGCCGTTATGGGAAACAAGGCATTTACCTAGTGAATTCATAGAGCAATGACATAGGGAAAGTGTATGTTGTATTTGTCATTTCCGTTTATTAAAATCTTGTCATGATTTAGGTCTACTTAAAATGTGCAATTAAAAGTTATTTCACAAGAACATTTATTCCTCGAGTTTCTCCTACTCCACAAACTATTTCCATAGCCTTAATGGGCATCTTTTATCTTTATTTTAAAAACTTGCACTTTACAAACAAAATTAAATTAACTTTGCTATACTTTAAAAGTATGCAAGAACATTTACGTATTAGATTTTTTAAATAATCATTTGTGGGAAATCTGATGAATACTCCACCAACATTTTCTTGAAATTGGTTAACTCCTTTACCCCCTCACATTCAGGGATCAATGAATGGAAAATAAGTATCATGAATATAAATAGCCTATATTTATATGCACTCGGAGTGTCTAGTTGGCGGGGTTCAAAGGAGAAACGTGGCTTGATGCGCAGTTATTGCTACATTTCAAAAGCTTAAAAGATGGAATCGGTTTTTACACGTTAACTGTAATGGTTTTGGTTTATAGGTCCAAAAATTAGCAGCAATTATTAATACAATGACAGGCAACATGACAGGAGTGTGTTCATTACCAGGAATCCATGTGTGACCGTGTTGGGTGGGTACAGGAGACCCTGTCTAGACAACAGAGCACATAGTAAGGTATCAAGAACAAAGGAAAGACAAAAAATGGCACGAGATAATGGAATAGATGGGTATGTAGAATTCAGGCTAAATCCAATCCCCAAAGAAGTGGCCTGTCAAAAATATACAGAAAAGCCGCACCTTTTAAGTTCAAATAGAAAAAGCTTTTCTTTTGTTAGATCCTAGAGGATTACCAAGAAAGAAAGATGATTGGATGGATGTACACTAAAAAATGAACAATATTAGTAATTAATATAACAAAACTAGTTTTCGTGTATTCTGGAGTTTGCGTTCTACTTTCTTTACTTTAAAAGGGAAATCCTGCCACCTAGTGATTATCTCCGTCTGTCTACTTTAAGTACCTTGATAAAGTTGGGATCGATATGTGCCTCTTCTGTGAAGCGATTAGTACAGGCGAAGCATTGGGCAGCTACAAATCGCATTTATTTAATATACGTTTCCTTGTTGCTAGTAGGATTATCCTGTACGTTCACTGCTGGACTTAAAGGAAGCATAAGGTAAGCGAGCTTTACGGATCGACGTTCCCTGGCAACTACGCGTTTGTTAAGAGGAATGGACATGTGCGAAAAGGTAACCCCATTAGCGGTAGTTTTTTTTACATATTATCAGCACTATCAATGAGATTTCATCAAAATCTACATGAAATACTGTATATATCGACCATTAATTGTAGGAACACCGAAAAATCGATGTCCTTCGTCGAAACTCTGGAATTAAGAGGGCCATCGATATCACTCAACTGTATCTAGCAAATAAGTGAGTGACACTGCCCCCAAGTCTCATTAAATTTAAAACCCTATTTACAACGTATGCTTGAATGTTTTCTTATGTTGTTTTTTGATTTAGAAAAATGGTTATGATCCCCAATCTGTCAAAATTCCGAATGCTTCGATACCTGTGGCTGAATAACAACATGGTGGGTATTTATGGGTCATTTAACTCAAGTTACGTACTTAATTACTGGGAAAATAGCTAACTGGAACTGTTAAGCTTTAATATGATAACTACAGATAAAAAACCTGATTTTGCTACCCACAGAATTAAACCGAAGTACATAAAACAAGTTTACACATCTAATCAACCCGTAGTTTGCAGCAAAGCTTAATATCTCATCTGTACGTTAAATGCAATTGAAATGAGTAAAAAATGCGTATTACCACAAGACCCTCAATTGCAATCAAAAGATGGGTGGGTGTATAAGAAGCTATGAATTATTTAAAATAAATCAATTTTTATATCATGGAAAGGTGATTTTTATGTATATGCCAAACTGATTTTGGTAAACTTTTCAGATAACAAAGATTTCCACCCTGTCTACCAGCTGCTGCTTGACCGAACTTTATCTTCAAAATAATAAAATCACCTCAATTTCAGGTACACATTCATGGTATACCCTAATACATCACCTCACAATATCAGGTACACATTCATGGAATACCCTAATATATCACCTCACAATATCAGGTACACATTCATGGTATACCCTAATATATCACCTCACAATATCAGGTACACATTCATGGTATACCCTAATATATCACCTCACAATATCAGGTACACATTCATGGTATACCCTAATATATCACCTCACGATATAAGTATCATAGCAATGATTCTTAATAATGTTGGTCATGAAACAGTGTCGACAACATTAACTGGTTCGTTTTTGGTATGGAAAAAGTACTACACACCTCCAAGCAGGGACACATGAGGGGACAAGGGAGTCTCTCAGCAAGGGGGGTCAATGGGGGGGTGCTTGGTAAAATTAGCCGAATTAAGGGGGGGGGGTCCCAGCCGGGGTCCCCCAGCCGCCTCTGTTAGTGTTTCCAAGATAAAGGATACATCTACCCTGGTCCGTTAGATAGAAATATTGGCTGTGATTGTCCCTCACACACAGGGACCCTCAGTCACCTGAGCTGCCTGCAGGTTCTGCTCCTACACAACAACCAGCTGGAGAGTCTGGAGGAGTCGGTGGCTGAACTGAGGCGAGCTCAGCAGCTCCACACTCTCAGTAAGTCCAAGGATACGTCGTGTGTAGCTCTGGGCTTTTTCTGTGTGGCCCTTTGTCTCCTCAGTTCCTTTTCTCTTAACACTACCAGTTTCAGAAGTCTGCCGAACGTTATTTTTATCAAGAATCTTTTGGGCAGAAATATCTCTGACCATAAATTATGTCGAAGGATGTAACAGTGCTGTCAAATTTGGGCTACATTACAAAAAAGACTTAGGATTTATACACATCTGTTTCCAGGTTTTTTCCTGAACCCCTTCACAGAAAACCCTCAGTATCGAAACTATGTGGCTCATCACTTGCCATCTGTGCTCATATTGGATAGAAGAGGTAAATATTACAAAATGATTGAACATGGTTTTCAGCTACATTACGGAATGAAATACTGAAATGTAATGAAAACAAATCAGATACCCGCATTCGTAAGTTTGCAGGAAATTTAAACACAATATACAAAATGTAACAAAAATACCATATCAAAATGATAATGTTCTAAATGAGAACAATAGGATTTTATGTATTATTAATTAACCAACACTTCATTCATTTAACTTTTATTGAAATCCTTTTGCTCGACATAAAAGAGCTGGAGTTTGTGGTTGCTATTTTGTATTCAAGGACTTGTAACTTACCACTGAATTGCTAGCTAATTTCATCATTGAATAACAGCGCACACACACCCTTGGAGACCGTCTTTGACAATATAAATAAATGTGCTCCTGTCAGAAGTGAAACGGGAGGAAAAAATCTCAGCATTCCAGATGTTCAGCCCAGGGAGAAACAGAGTCCAGCACTCTGTGGCTTTTGGGCGACGAGCAGAGTTTGTTCCAATAGCAGGAAATAGGGATAGAAGTTCAGAAGTTCAGAGCTCAGATTCGTCCTGGTAAGGATGCAACAAACCCCTGACTTACCAAAGGATGAACTTTGTAGATGAACCTCTCTACCAGATCAGTTTCTCATCTTTTACTGTTGCTGCTAATTCTAATTAGTTGCATTGTTCTCATTGCATTTCATTGCTTAGACCTGCTAAAATAAGGCAGCAAATGTTAGTGACGTACATTGTGTCATTGCTAGGCAGTCAACTTCAGGTACAATTTCAGATAAACCTCTTTCAAGAAGACAGCATCAGGAAGTATGGTCCAAGCAGTAATTTCAGGAAAAAAGAGATGCAAATCCCTTTTCAAGACAATCAATAGCAAAATATTCTAGTTTACAGTACATCCTCTTACTATAATATATATTGTGTACACAACTAAGTACAGTACCTTTCGTGCTCCAATGCAGAGTACAAACTCATCTTAAGCATACACTGCTTTGAAAAGCTAGCACTCTTCAATAATTTGTTGTTAACATGAATATTATTGATGTTTCTCATGCAGTCACTGTTGTATTTGTGTTGAATTCTTTACATTTTTGCAACTTCAGTCAAGGAAGTCATTTTGGATTATCAATGCAATTGAAAACTCTTTAATGACCCCGACCTTTGCTCATTTTCAGAGCCACACTTGGCCAGACTGAATGCTTCAGTGCAGAGATCCAAAAATGCTGTTTCTCTACTGACTGGACCACCATCCCTTCAGGGCAGTACAGACACAGCACAGCAGGACCAAAAATAATCACCATCAAGTTCAGATGATTTGCGTAGGCCAAACACTTTGAGATTGCCAAGAACCCCAACCTACTTTAGTTCAGGCATGTCTTACACAAGACAAAAAATCTGAAGTAATGATAAATGATTCTCGTTATTTGAAGGAGTTGCAAACACTACCAATTAAATATTTAAAATTTAAATTTTGCTGATTATTTCCAGTTTTCTGTGCTAATTATACTTATGAACAGATGACCTAACAGTGGGATGACATTTACGTCAACACTGTAACAACTAACACTAATTCAGAGTTAAATGTTTTTTTAAAAGGTTTTCCATACAGCTTCACTCTCGCTTCCCATGTTAATACATTATACATCTCAAAATGAAAACAGCAGCATTTGGGAGCATAAACCACCATTTATTGGCACAGAGGCATAACTGTGATTTGCTGTGTGAATCTTGCATGAGACGCATTAGGAACTTGCCAACCAAAGCAATGGATGAATAATATAGGATTTCACGCCACATCATTTTAAGGCTGCATGTGATTGTAACAACCCATGAAAATACCCCAGGACCATATTTTCCCCAAGAATATGGAAAAGCACAAAAATAAAATCCGCATGTGCTTGAATCAGTGGTTTCCCTGTATCTCTAAATGAGATAAATCCATCTACTTAATATCAGAGCAACTTCATACCCGTAATAAGTCAACTGCACTCTCTTGGCAAAGTGTAAAAGTGAGTAAATAAAGAACACGACCATGACTGCCAAATGTATACAATCCTATGTAAATATACCAATAAACAACCAGCAATAGTTATGCTATATAATCATGTAAATTTGGCCTAAAACATACAAGGCATGTCCTGCATATGCTGCTTAGCACTGAAATAACCGTGTTCATTACTTAAGAATTCAATAATCTACAATTATATAAATTATTTATTCTCATCACCACAAAGACATACCCAAGTTAAATTACAAGTGGTAAATAAAAAACACCCCCCGGCTTTTCCTACCATCATTCAGGGTATGGTGGGGAGGTTACACACAGCGATGTTGAAAGTGATTCTACACACACATTTAGCAAGTGTACCTTCAATACCACATAGCTAATGGCATGTATCAAAAAATCTACACTAATGCTCAATTTGGCTACATGCATTTTAATGGTTAGACGGTATTCTGGAAAAAAAGAAAAGACCCAGATCTGAGCTCACATTGAGAACTCAATATTTTTGTCCATTTTGCCTCACAGCCAGGTATCAGGTTAGAGAACCGGACAAGCAGCAAGAAGCTGCATATCTTGCCTGCTTAGCTGTTCTTTCCTTGTGTTCTGTAATAGTTTGTCATTTTAATTCGCTGTTTTTGCCCAGGCTAGGACCTTATAACCATGTTATATCCAAAAGGTCCAACCTAAAGTTACAAATGAGGAGACTGACCAATTTAACAACCAATGCAAATATATAGCTGGATACTTGACAGAAATATCTTCACAAACTATAGGAAATATTGTTACATCAGTCAGCAAAGGCATATGCACAAAACACAGGTACTGCTGCTAGTTGGAAATTTACTACTTATTCACCAAACAACTGTGTAGTAGAATGACTTGTATAACATCCTTCAAACCTTTAGAATGTTCTAGCAATGCATGACAAATATTTTCAGGAAAAGTGGCCAGTTATTTCATATCAGAAAGTTATACATTCTTTATGATTGTTGTTCTTATATGAATATCCTGTCAACTGAAAATTCTAATTGTTTAGAATTTTCATTTCATTCATAGTTAAAAAGACTATGTTGGTCACAAATTCAGCCCACGACAGGAACTACTTACTGAATCACCACCAGTGAAAACCACGACTTACCAAGGAAAAATATTTTGGATGTCCTCTGTGAATGTGTTCATGAATAACTAACAATGCAGAAACAAAAATGACCCAAGACTTGGAAATGACATTTATCAGTTTAATGCAACATTGTTTGAGGATGTTGCATTAAAATATTCATAATCTGCAGTTTTTCAGCTTCCACGTTATAATTCAACTGAAGGAACAAATAAACGGTGATGCTTCTGTTGACTTGTGTGCAAGTGAGCTGCAGAGCTTTGGTGTGACGTCGCTGCGTTCATGGGCGCTCCCTTTTGTACGGAACAAACCGGAAGCCTGAATGTTTCCCCCCCATGCTGGACTGGTTTCCTCACACTACCACCCAGCAGTCTCACTGACGGGTCAACACAACCTGATCTTGCTTCATGTGGCTACTGTCACAGTGTCAAGACTGCAGAGTCTACACACTCTACCCAGGAAGTCCTATTCCTGCCGGACCGAAGGCGCATCAGGGACTGCTGGACCAGACTGGACAACTGAAGCGTCAGATGGGGAATCCTCTTCTTTCTGTATGGCGAGTCCCTGCACCAAACTAGTCGCCTCCTCCACGGGCTTGTTGTCTTCTGGTATAACAAAAAAGAAAAGCATGATCTAGTCATATCGCTATTTCATGCGAAGAGAAATTTTTATCATAAACATCAAATTTCGTTAGACACAGGGCACTTTTCGCCGCACCAGGTGCCGTCCATGATAGGGTACAAATGACCCGATAGAGATGCTTTGCCGATGGATTTTAAAGCATCTCAGTAATATCGCGCCTATGCATGTGTTTTGTCTGGGTAGTCATCTTATTTTAGTGTTACTGCTGTGACAGTGTGAGACTAATTTTATCTATCACTGTATCTAATACCACCCATTTATTGCGCCACAGTAAAGTCAAATGACGTTAGATCATAAACAGGAAATTAGGGAAATATGCTGCATTTGTCCATTAATATTTTCACGCAAGACAAAAATAACGAGTCCATATAAATTTCAGTACTTTTGAGTTATTTAATTTGAAAGGGTAATTAGCTACATTACTTATTACAGCCAAAAGAAGGGGAATTACCTTTGTAACACTGGATATGACACATCCAACACAAAAGCAGCTCAACCTGAAGACGGCGCTCATACCGTTAGCTTGCTTGTCCATCATTAGCGCTGATCTGGCCTCCTGCTTCTCCCTCTGCTCCTGCAGCTTTTTGCAGACTTTTTTATGTGTGAACCAGTGGAGTTTCTGGCAGGTGGGGTCACAGTACATCACCTGTAAACAGATTACAAGGGAAACAGAGTGGTATGTAAACTGAAGCTATGTTAATTAACATAACTACTTCTATAACTAACACAGTTAGGAACGTGTTTAAAACAGCAACAAAGGAGGCATTCATGCCCGGTGAGACACCGGACATTTTATCTGAACTGCTAACTGTGGTTTTACATTAACATTTACACAGCAGATGCTTTTAGTCACTTCTCAATTTTATTCCAGCTGAGAAAGTAGGACCTGCCAGTTCTGGGAGCAACTGGTGTTATGGACCTTGCTGGAGAGCCCTGTTACCCTGGCAACCACAGGACCTGAACCATCTACCTTCTAACCCACAGAGCTACACAGAATTCCCAGCCCGTGGAGACCCAAGGCTGTGTACACGCTTACCATTTTGCAGATGGAACACCTTTTGCTGGCCCGCTTTCCTCCACAGGCAGTGCAAAACTCAGCATCCATGAAGCCCACCTGGCCGGTGATGGCTTGGGTCAGAACCGAGAGGGCTGTAGGGTCATTACCCTGGATACAATAAGCATGGCAAATGTTAATTGAGGCATCTTCTACTATCGTTCAGACATCATTCAGGACTGGATCTTTATCTGGAAAATAATTAATATCACTTCATAAATGACAAGGCAGGAATTGCAACGGCTCTGTACAACATGCTGATGACAAATATGGTATAGTTAGAGCTTCATAAATGGACGAGTGACATACTGCTAAATATCCCTGAAGGAGAAAAAGACTTACGATCTCCACAGGAGCGATGCTCCTGACCAACTGCTGGAGCAGAGTTGTATCGCAGTAGGGAAACTTCCGGATACACTCCCGGATGAACTTCTCCTGATACTGCGGAAACCCATCACTGTCCCGTCCTTTCAACAGGCTGCGAAGAGTAGAATTTGAATGGAAGTGGGCCTTTTACAGGGATAGAAAAAAGAAAATTCTGTACTAGTAAAGAAAGTGTTTGGATTCAGGCACAACACGGAGGTGGCGGCTGTCGGGGCACCTCTTGACGAACGCGTCCAACTTGTCCTCCCGCTCCCTGAGGAAGGTGCAGCACTTCTGCAGCACGCAGCTGATGTAGTGCATCTTCACGGCCAGTACCTCGTTCATGTCCTGCTGCTTCACGCACTTCTCACAGATCAGGTCCAGCACCTTGTGGCACTTCTCCAAAGACCCCACGTCCATTAATAGTGGGTTCTCCTTCACCAGCATTACAATCTGGAGGAGGCAGCAGCCATAAGGTTACAGTTCACCAGCAGCAATATCAGACACAAGGGACTGGTGTGTCACGAACAGCTGATGTCATTTCTTCTACTAAACTGAGGTCACATGCTGATCAGATTTATCCTGTCCTAGATAACAAATGCAGCTTGACGATTCCTTTAAATCAGGGGTGTCAAACATACGGCCCGCGGGCCGAATACGGCCCACTATGGTGTCCAATACGGCCCGCGGGATGATTTGAACAATAGTATTAAATATCAAATCTTTTTTATTATCATTATTATTAGTAGTAGTAGTATTAAAAAGGAATAAGAGTGTTAATGAACAGTTTCTGAGGACT